CGTCTGTTTTAGTACCGAACGGAAACACGAAACAAAGGTTTAAGGTTCCTACATCCCGGACCTTTAGCAAACCCGAACACTACAAATACTGACGCTTTCACGGCGGTCGGTAAACTCCAAGGCCGGTGGTTGGTGGGAATGTCACGCCGATCACAGAAGTAACGTCGGTTTCCCTGTATCCAGCTGGCCGCTGCAAATATAGTCATGTGCGCTCTGGTATTCTTAGAGCATTTACACACATTTTTTTTAACGCGCCCCATCTCCGATTAGAATGTATTGACAAGAAAACAGTTCCAAAGAATACAAAAATATATATACAAGCGATCAAATAAACAAAAGCATCTCAATTGCATCATGGGACTGCGTAAATCAACGGTAACTTTCGCTTTTGATATGCCTTGATCAGGAAGTTATAAATGTGGAGAATAAAACGATACATGAAGTGGCAGCGGTGAAACGCATTTCAGATTTCAAGAATCTCACAAAAAGAGGTAGAAGTTTCAAAGCTTTCTCCTGCTTTGCGCCATCCCTTGCGAGCAATACATATATTGTCTGTACACATGTGGGATCATTTAAACCGGGGTCAGAATTATTTTATTGCCTGCTACAGAACCATTATCAGATATTTAGAATCTTTGCATTACTTGTTGGGCAGAACGATGTTTCTTTTTTTGTTTAGTTAAAAAAAAAATACCAATGTCTCCCGTTAATCATTTTCTTTTTTCGCTATTGCAACATCAGCCGCTTGTCCGGAACCGATATGGCTATTGATGATATTATAAAATATATTTTCCTTTTTCTTTATTGACTTAAAATTCGCGATTTTTAGATTAAAAAAATCATACACACGGTGTATACTTTAGAATTACAATTTGGAAAATGTGATTTATCCACCCCACTTATTTAACATAAAAGGTTTCCAGCTTTAAACAAACAGTATCACTGCCAGCCTCTTGAAACTTATCGGCTTTATTCTGTAACATTTCTACAGGCAAACTGTCCCTGAAGTTCACTGTGAAGCTCCTCAAAGACAAATAACCATAGACATTTATCAGAATTTCATAGCGATTTTCTTATAATTAATTATTTCCTATTCATTGCTATTTAAAGAACCCTGTAATTATCAATTCTATACAACTGGGTATGTAGAAACCCCACTGGTCCACATAACACAAAATGTTCACATGAGTAAGTTTTGGGTCTCTCCTTTGCAGGCCCAGGTTAAGATCCACATAGGTCTGTTGGAGAGCATCACAATTTTATATGAGAGTGGGGGTTTCCATTATGAGAGCAAATTGCTTGTACTGTAATAATCTTGGTGCCTGAATGGGAAGAATAGATTAGAAAGTAGATGGATAGATCCCTTCATACATACTGTGTGGTTTTAATGTTTCTCCATGCCAGGGATCTCCAGTGGTTATTCTGGAAGATCCCGGTCCAGTTTGTCGTACAGGTCTCCCTGAATCGCCTGTTTATATGAAAGATGAGAAAGCCCTCGAAATTACTGATGGGGCCGCATGGCACGGTGCTTAGCAGTGCTACCTTGCACAGTTGGGGTCCTGGGTTCAATCCCACGCCTGGGGTGCTGTCTGTGTGGAGTTTGCATGTTCTTCACTTTCCTATCGCAATCCAAAGACTGTGGTTTAAGACAATCCAAAGGTGGTTTAACTGGCTCCTGGGAAAATTGGCCCTGGTGTGGGTGTGTGTCAAGCTTGTGAAACATTGGCGTGCTGCCCAGGATGGACTTGCACCATTGCTTGCTGGGATAGGCTCAAGCTACCCAGTGTTGGATGCAGGGATTATAACATGGAGGGGTGGGTAAAGCACTGTGAATTAAACCAGTAATTTGTTCACTTAATGGAACTCTGGTCCAACAGGGCTGAAGGGGATTCTCAGTGTTTGGGTTCTGATGATCTCTATTAAAATACTAATAAATACTATGAAAATAAAACACTGAAGTGATCACAGTTAAATATGTCTGGGTGTTCAGGGATTTCTGCAGGTTAGTGGCTCTTGAGAATAGGTGTCAGAGAGCCCTCCTCCAGACGTGAGCGAGCTCGGTTCTGCCTGACGTGCCTGACTGCAGAGGACATCTCAGCAGGTGGGCTTCAGCCTCGCCCTGCAGGGCCCATGGACACCAGGAGAGGAGGCGAGGGGGGCAGCGGAGAGCCCCGAGATCCCCCCCCTCCGGAGTCTGCAAGCCGGGACGCCCA